ATCGGCAGAGTCTGGTCTGGGCTGAGGGTTCACACTCCCTCAGAGTCTTCTTCCCCCAAGCTGATGCATTACCTGGAGATGGGGATGGTGGGGAGGCTCTCGTTTTGCCTCCTCTGGCTCCATGAAGTTGTTGGCTGGGGAGGTCTCAGCTCCCTCAAGTCGCGGCTAGCCCTGCTTTGAGCAGGGGGTTGGACTAGGTCAGTGTTTCTGAATGGGCGGGTTGCGAGAATATAGGAAAAGATGGCGAAGAAACTTTAAAAATGGATTCTCATTTAAAAGTGAGAAATGTGGGGAAGCATGGCTTCTCCGGTGTGGGCTGGCATAGCTCCAGCCTGCGTGGGGCTGCTTGGAGGCCCACCGCCCCCCACCCTGCACGCTGGGAGGCTGGGATGGGGGGGTACGGCACAGGGGCGGGAGTGGGGACGCTGTGTTGGAACTGGCTGTTCATGTTTACAAATGGGCCCTGGAAAATAATGGTTGAGATCCTCTGGGCTAGCTGACCTTTTGTGGTCCAGTCCCTTCCAACCCTCACTTCATATGATTCAAGCTACCCCATTGCTCCATGGCATTTTTGAGCAAGGGAGGTACTTTTTCCTTCACAATCTAAACACAGCAAGGGCAGTTCTCTTCTGATGGGATGAGCGGATTCATTTGGGCAGAAATCTAAATATGGCGGCATTTCAGGATCTGTGTTCTCAGCATGTTGTAAGTGTTGGGTCATCATCCAAGAGTTCCTTTTTGTAAGTATCTGTCTGGTTGGCAAATACAAGGTCTAGACTAGAAGGGACCACATAGGTTGTTGCAGGCAAAAGGGCCCACTTGGGTTCAAAAGGATCTGCAAGAATATCTGTTCTTCTGTCCTCCCTCTCTCCCCAGTTGCAGACACTCCACAAACACCAGAGCTGCCTAACTGGGAGGCTCTTGTACAAAAAACTCAAGAGCCTTTCAGACTGCTTTAGCAGACAGCAGGAGAGACAAGGGCACACATGATGCCCTGGGGTCACTGCAGTGGCAGGGACTTGATTAGGTAAAATATGCCACATAATCCTAGGAATTGGACCGTGCTACAGAAAAGTGGGCGTAGGGAAACAACTCTTGCTTGCTATGGCACATCAATCTCCATCTTATTGACATATTTGAATAGGAAGGTTGTGGTTGTACAGAGTTCCTGTTTACCTTTTTGCCTGAAGGAACTACAAGTTACACCCCCTTCCCCCAGCAAATATGAAAAAAAACAAAAAACCTTACACTCCAGTATACAAACAGCTTTACAACGTTAGCAAAATCAGTTAACAGCACAAACAGGATACTATACCACTCTTTTCAAAACCAGTGGTATAGTATCTTGTTTGTGCTGTTAACTGATTTTGCTAATGTTGTAAAGCTGTTTGTATACTGGAGTGTAAGTTTTTTTGTTTTTTTTTTAAATTTGCTGGGGGGAAAGGGGTGTAACTTGCAGTTCCTTCAGTCCCCACAAAAAGGTCAAGCTCTGACCAAGCTTTTCCAAGCTCTGTAAACTTATTTTGATATGGAATGAATATAGAGTTGCCCCACTCAGTTGTACTTGGTGATCTTGCTTCCAGCACTTACTACTTTCTTCAATGTTTTATTCCAAAATAAAGGATTTCTCAGAGTCTATCTAAACTTGTTCTCTTAAATAGGAAATGAGTATTTATGATTTTAAGATATTTTGACCTTTGTAAATTCACTCTCTAATGTCTAGAGCCAAATATTTGATGATGTAAGTGTGAATAATTGCAGAAGAGGGCATTGTTTGGATTCCTTAAAACTTTTTGTTTTAGGTATTTTAACTTCTTTATTCTTGCTTGTTTTTAAATAAAGTGGTTGGGCCTGGGGATAGTAGGTGGGCTCCACTGAAGCCTTTTCCAATATGGCTGCTATTAACCACGTTTTTTGCTTGAAAGTTGGAACGGATCGACTTCTTTTCGTTACCGACTTTACTCAGTTCTCATAACTCCTTTGTACTTATCATGATTTTACTTCTTGCTCAGCATACATAGTGTCACTTCTATAACTTCATTCCATTCAGCTTGCTTGTATGATGCTTAACAGTTTCTGAGTCTGTTAGCTGTTTACCAGTTCAGGAAAATATAAAGGGTCTATCAGCCTCTTCATTCTGTTCTTTCTACTGGTTCTCTTCTCCTCTTTCATCTGTAGCATGGGCAGTGTATTTTGAAAACAGGGTTTGACCTCAGAATGGCTTTCAAAACTGGCTAACAAATTTGCCTAAAAATAGGTGAAACTGGGTTGTAGGAAACAACTGGCTTCCTTCAGATTAGCTGAATCACTAAGCTAAATTAGTGTGCATTAAGAAAGGAACTGCAGTTCATGTTATTAGTTTAATATAGTAGAAAGGGCTAACTGGTAAATATGCAGTATTGGAGAAGCTTGAGAGTTGTGTTTTAAATATTCTGAAAATGCTCAGTTCCACAAATACCCTGCCTGTATTGTCTGAATTGGCTTTTGGGTAAGGCTGTTTATTCTAACTTGAAAGTCAGACCAACAGACTCTGAGATGATGGGAAGTTTATTTCCTTAATTTTGTCCTGAGTGTGCGTTTCTCTCCTACCCTGCTGAGATCACATTGGGTTTTCTGCTTAATAAATATGTTGTCAATAGTCCGTTGATAACTTAGAATGTGTAGTACTCATTTTGTTCTTTTCTTTCAGATTACAGCAAAAGCAGCAGTCATTTTTGTTACACTTCAGTACAATGTTACAATTCTTGCCACAGGTAGGTTTCTTTAGGGAGTTTAGATACCAGTGGGGTAGAGAGAATTGTAGTCTTCATAAATTGACCCATTCCTAATTTCAAATGGTAGAGTTTAAAATTGCTTCTGTGATAAAATGTTAATGCTGTTTTGTTGTGTTTATCATCAATAAAATGGTATCAGCATGCCTAGTTTCTGCATACATCTAGATACGAGGCAGGCATTCAGATCAGTGTGAATGATTTTAGCAACTTTATGGATAAAACTTTGTCTCTGCAAGTTGTACTAATAAGAGGGAGACAAGTTATTTAAATGTTAACAGTGCCCCTTCTAAAGAATTCTGCTAGCTTGCTTAAATGCATTAATTATATTTTTATTTTAATTCTTTCCAGAAACAGTTCTGTCTTTGGTGGGATGGAGATAATTAGTAGAAGTTAAGGTTACTGGTTTAGCCTAGGGGCGGTGGACAGCCTGTTGCATGCATGTCCCAAGTGGCACAGGTAGCTTGTGTGTGTGGTATGTGCCAGTCTGGGGAAGGGGCAAGCAGCACAGTGGCAGATAGGGCAGGAAGAAGACAGCAAAGCAGCAGATCATTACAGAGCAGACAGAAGATTAGACAGGGAAAGGGGAGCAGAGTAGCACTTGGGGAGGGTGCAGGGCTAATTTGTTGCACACCTACCAAAAAGTTTAGGCCCCCAGTGGCTTAACCAGTGATGACAGACCATAGATTTAAATTTAGTTTATACTCTGTGCACACTGATATCTTAATCTCTTATCTGAAAAATACTTCTTTGAGAAATAGATACACTTATTAATAAATGAGATTAAATGAAATCCTAGTATATAACTCTTTAAAATCTGGGTTTTTTTATCCTTCAGAAGAACAATCTGCAGAAACTGTCTCTCTCTATTACTATGGTTTCAAAGACTTGGCTACAATTTTCTTCTATATGCTGGTAGCAATAATCGTACATGCCATTATTCAAGAATATGTGTTGGATGTAAGTACAAAATATTCATCATCTTTATTAAGATGGCAAACGTCAGTACTATTAAATTTTTTTAATATTTAAAATAATTTTGAAAATTAGAGTGTATGATCATGGAATATGTTAATTTCAATTTAAGATACTGTGTGAAAAATAAGACACGTAACACCTGAAACACATTTGTTTTAACACATTTCTCAATTCATAACTTCTGTTTTAGAAAATTAACAGGAAAATGCACTTTTCTAAAACAAAGCATAGCAAGTTTAATGAATCTGGACAACTGAGTGCTTTCTACTTTTTCTCCTGTGTTTGGGGCGCAAGTATTCTTGTCTCTGTAAGTATGTCTTATCTTGCATTTATAGTGTCAGAGCTCAGTCATTTGCAGTAAGAAAATAACTTCCTCTAGTGCTCAGCCATGTGTTAGAGCAGAGACTAATCCTTTGCAAAATCCTGTTAGAGCTCAGTTGTAGCTAAATATCGGTAGCACTCACTCCTGAATCCTTGGCTTTGTCTTTTGAACAGCAGGTTAGAAATAGACACAGGATACTTCATCTGTATTTATTTTGACCCTTCACTGCAATCTGAGTAAATTAGTTCTAGTTTATTATTTTTAAGAACAATTATACAACCACCACCACCACCAGTAATTAGACTTTTAGATATGGGGCAAATGTCATCTCAGATTTGAGTAAATACAGTAAACATGATTTTCTTTTTTGGATATTGTGAGAGTTTGTTAATGCTTCGGGAGCTTGAGGGTCTTCAAAAAGCAAAACTTGAAATATTTATTCTTTAATAAGCTTGACTTCTGCTTCTGGAGACTCTTCTTATTCAGAGTAATGCTAAAGGCTTATATAATGAAAGAAGCTTACTAATGGTATGATACTGCTGTAGTTTTAAGTTGACTGACCCCCCTACCCCCCACACGTGGGTGCATCTTGACTGTTTTGTTTCTGTATGTGGATTTTGGAGTATGATTTCTAAACTAAAAACAGTAATCAGTAGCATTATCCATTTTCAGGAGAATTATGTATCTGATCCAACGTCTTTGTGGAAGGACTACCCTCACACTCTGATTCCGTAAGCCTTTTTTTTTTTTTCCAGAATGTTGGAAAGTAATAATCATCTAAGATTTATAGTACAGTGCTAGTTCATGGCTTAGACCAACTACTGGGCAGAGCTGTGGTAGTGGTCTAAAATATGTTATTATATGATGCAAAAACTTGCTGCTCTCCTCATTTGGAACATCCAGAAATCAAATTTCTTCAGGGCATTGAGGGAAGTTAATAAGGTTTAGCCATTTTTTGTAATACCATTTCATTTTTCCCAGAAGTTTTATTAGTGAGAGAAAATTTGCATTCCTCTTGTTGTTTATCCATAGGTTTTAGAAGTTTGCAGTAAAATTTTTTGGAACATTTGAACTAGGAATATAGTTACCAAACACACTTACTGTATATATTTTCTTGCTGTCTCATGCAGATTTCAAATGAAATTTTTCTACATCTCTCAGTTGGCATACTGGTTTCATGCTTTTCCGGAACTGTACTTCCAGAAAACTAAAAAAGTAAGCCAAAAAAAAATCTCATGTTAAAACAGCAGTACTTTTACTATTAAGTGTGTCAGGGAATGGATTTAATATGAATATATAAATGTATATGCTTGCATATCAATTGATATATTTTGGTCCACAAAAAACAAACATACTTCTGGTTTTTCTGTATTAATAGAGAACTTATGAGAGAACTATCTGCTTACTGGGGAGTGAATTACTTAAAAATAAATTTCAAGTAGTCTTTTTAAATACGTGCAGTTACTTCAGTGTTTACTTTGTGAACATGGCTGTTCTGTCTGTGGGAGCTTGCACTCTAATATTACTTCCAAGCAGTTGCTCTGATACAACAGAATTGCAATCCAACTTTGCATCACTTGAAGTTCTGATTTGCAGTTCTCTTTACATTTTAACTGATGGTACAAGTACTTTTTTAATCAACTGTTAGAAAAACAAGAAACTACCTTTTATAGCTTTGGGTCATTTATTTCCACCACATTCATGTAATGGCACAGTCAGTTCAACTCTGAAGTCTCACAGTTGGTGGTTTTCCTATTTGTTACTATTGAAGACAACTAATTCTTGCCAATTAAGGTCCTAATACAAAATTGTTTAATGGCTGAGAATTCATACAGATTAGGCAGTGAAGATTGCCAAATTTCCCAACTTCGGGGAATTGTGAATAGTTTTATCTGAAAGAGATTGTCAGCTGGCTTGGATAAGGCAAAGAACTCTAAGAAACAGCACGTGTATGTGTGTTCAGCAAAGGAAGAATGCTGCAAGCTTTTAACATCTAAAGGCAAGCTTGGTATGCAGGCCATTATAGTTGACCTTGAGATACAAATAGATAGGAATTCAGTAATATAACTTGTTGACTTTAGAAACATGGAATATTTTTCTTTCTAAAAAGTTGGTTTCAGTTTCAAGTCTTATAGATGGTGATACATCTAAAAGACAACTTTTAATACATTTTTCAAGTCAAAGCAGACAACCTCTGGGCAGATGTTTTCCTTCTGTATAATCTATGATGCAGCAGCTGAAAAGCTGTTGCTCTTAGATATTATCACTTTTATGAACTTCTAGGTATTCACTAGCTTAACCAGTTTCAACAGAGAACTTCAGATTATGTTGATTATACAAATTGAGAACTCTGAAAGAATTGTGCCAGGAGCTGACAAGTGGGACTAATGGTTACAATACCTCTCAATTATTCCTGTGTCTCTATCTTCCTTTTTTGCATCTTTCCATTCTTTCTGCTGCACAAAGATATCTACAAAGCTTGCTTTTCAGGCACTTAACATTGAAATATCAGATCCTTGCTCCCATTCCTCTTACAGGAGTATCCTAACAAGGAAGGAACACCAGTTGTTCTTAACATCTTTTTAGATTTGAGGCACCCCTGGATTGACCCAAGACTTTCTTTGGAAGATGCCAGGTCTTAGTTTTCACTCTTTTTGCCTATAGAAAAACAATAGAGCAGTTCTTTCTGTTTTCAAAAAATTCAGAAAGACCACAATGTTGGATTTCTATTTAAAATCTCCGGGTTTATCTAGTGAATCACGTTTGTAAACCTAACAGTGGTAACTTTATGTGGCACCCCTTGAAAGGATCTCACAGCACACCGGGGAGCCATGGCTCTCTGGTTGAGAATCACTCTCTATGTCATGATTAGGGATCTCTGTAAATTACATTGGAAGTTCCCCCTGCAGTGACCTCTTTAATGTTTTTCATTTCACTGCTTACCACCCCCTCCTCCACTGATTGGTGGAGGGGTGCTGCCAGCCAACCCATTTGCCACTGGTCCCCGAAGAAGGAAAAACCGCAGCGTACTTTAAAACATCTGTCAATCGGAGGGGGGTGGAGGGCAAGCAGTGAAATGAAAGCATTAAAGAAGCTGTTGCTGGGGGGCACTTCCAGTGTGATTTTTACCGAGATCCCTAGTCATGATAATATTTGAAGCTGCAGTCTCTCTCCTCCCACTCCCCCCACCCCAGCAAGGAATGCCAACTTTTAGTTTTGGAACATTTTAATATCCCAGCACATTGCTACCAGTATAGGCACTCTGATGGAGATCAGAAACTTACACGCCTTTTGTATAGTTTGGAGTTTGAACTACACTAGGAAAATAGATTCTAGTTTCACTAAAGTCACTTTGTTTCCTAGAGTGTCTTAGCCAACTATCTGTCTTCCAAAAGCAGAAGAGAAGAAATAGTATTAGTTAAAACTGCTTCATGTTAAAATTCAAAGATGGTTTAGCAAACCAAGTGACTATCGGGCCTGTCTTCTGAAATGATATACATCACATGCCAGGAATTTTGAAAAACATTGGAGAAAATAGCCACATGTTCTTAATGACCAGCCTTTTTTTGGAAAGAAAAATGTGGATTTTCTACTGTTTTCAGTCATGCATCACCTTAGAAACAGATTCACAGGACTGTTAGTTAGAGCTACCAAATTGTTTTTCAGAACTTCATTAAGCTACTTTCCAGCAGTGATCTCAGTACTGCAAAAATGTGTCTTCTCTTCATTGGAATCTGATTGTATGACAAATCTTTTATTGATTTCAGTAGAAGCACTTTCTAGTTTTGTTAATACTCTATCTTTCATCTCTTTCTGAAAAAGGATAAACTTCAGCTGTTCTGATTTTTACTAAATATATCAGCTAAAGTTGCATAACCAAGTGATTTTGCTCTTTGGAGAATGATGAGTACCTCCGCTCTTTAGAGAATGAGGGCTAGCAGTTTACCCACTACAAGGTCATGCTGGATTCCATTCTGTTCTCCTATGTATGTCAGTGTGTGTGAGAGGCTGCCAAGAGAGATGATTATGGGGTTTTTTCCTCTATTCATCTTTATGAGATTTGAATTAAATCAGTGTTTGGTGAGGATGTAAACTGGAATGAGAATTAACTATTTTGCAATTTAGAATTGGTAAGCTGAGTATCAATAAGAGATTTTGGACACTTCTTTACTGGAACATGTCCATTTCTTCCCAAAACGTAGTTTTTGGTCACACAATACTCTTGAACCCTATATTTCTTGTTAGCTGCCACAGATTTGACTAGGTTAGTAGTGACATGATCATTTTTTAGGTTTGGGATGGAAGTATTTTGAGTTAATACTTCTTTTTTATGGATAGCAACTTGGCAGAACATTAGTTTTGCACTTGCTCTATAAATAGATCTTAGCCTGAGTAGTCACTAACATACTAACTTATCAGTGCTGAGCATTGCTTGTTAACTAATTAGCACAATAAAGCACAGTGAACACTTGTGTGCAGTTGCCTAAAAGGCTAATTCTGCATATTGATTTCAAGTTTAATTAAAGTACTAATTTAAATATTACCCAAAATAAGTCAGGATTTTTTTTAATTGCTTGAGTACTAGCTTCTACTTTTTTGTGATACCTCAAGCAACAGGAAACCCTCATCCTGAAAACTAAGGAGCTTCAGTTACAATGGTAACAAAGTATAATGAACCCACAAACTTGATTGATTGAATTTCTCTTAGAAAATCACATCTCTCTGCATCCATTTCTGCACTGTGTTTTAAGGTGCATCACGTGTTTGTGATTCTTGCCTCTACCGTCCTGGTGTACTTAGTGACCCAGCATACACATCAGATCATGCTGATTTTAGAAGTAACTTAAACGCTCTACTTGCATTTGGATAGCTAAATCTGAAAATGTCTTCAGTTTACCTTTTGAGGATAGACACTTTTTTTAATCCATATGATGCAATCTAAATTCAGATCTAGTTACAGTTTTGGCTGAGCAGAACATCTTGACATGTCTCTCACCAAAGTCTGTTCACCAAAGCAGTGTCTAAATCCCCTGGGGCACCTATTCCAGGATGTGTACTCCAAGCTCACCTAACATCAATAGAATTGAGTTCAACGTGAAGTAAAACGGCAATAGCTGCTGTTGCTAAAAATGCGATAGGAAAAGGAAATTGTTGTGGTGGTTTTTATGCAGTAGCTAAATGGTTAGAGTACTTGCTCTAGGATTATTCACATGGAATATCTGAACCATCTTCAGTCTATGATGGGTTTTAATCCTATCCCACAGAAGATTAACCTAACCCAGGGGTGGGCAATTATTATGGGCGGAGGGCTGCTTACTGAGTCTCAGCAAGCTGTTGAGGGCTGCATTTCCCTCTCTGGCACAAGGAACCAGGAGCAGCCCCATGGTCCCAGGCCAGAAGCCTCTGGTAGGCAGGGGCTTCTGGTTGCAGGGGTGGAGCTGGGCAGATCTTGCTGCTGGGTTCTGCCACCAGCTTCCCCTGGGTCCTAGTGCCCCTGACTCCTGTCCTTTTTGACAAGCAGCCAGAAGCAAATAAATATAAATTTTTCTAATTTTTTTTAGGGGCCCCGCGGGCTGGATAGAATGGCCTGGCAGGTGGGATCCGGCCCCCAGGCCATATTTTGCCCACCCCTGACCTAACCCCAGGGTTAAATATAGGTGGAGTGATGCCCCCTCCTCATCCAATTAAAGCTGTTCCACTCTAGCCAAGAATACAAGAACGTTGGGGTAGAAAGCAAGAAAAGAGGAAACATGACTCTAGCCTAGTAATTCTCAACCTTTTTAGATGAAAGGCACCCTTCAGAAAATACCAGCTCTTAGCTTTTACTCATATTTTGACTGGAAAAATACTAGAGCAATTCTTCTGTTGGAAGAACTCAGAAAGACCAGAACAGGTCAGAATATTTGTGATGCTGTCAGTGCCTATTTCACATCTATGAGTTTGTCTTGTGAACCCAAGTGTAGGTAAGTGTTCTATACACCTAACTGTGCTAATATTGTGTGACACCTTTAAATAGATCTCATGGCACCCTGGTTAAGAATCACTACTTTAGTCCATTGTTCTGAGTTTGCAAAATTCATGGTCTTATTCTTACTACTTTCTAGTCTTTCTAGTTTATCTACCTTTTTTAAAATGTGTGCGCCTAAAACCTAATTACAATATTCCAGCTAAGACACCATAGGCACTATATAGAGTTGAATAAGACCTCACATCTC